GGTGTCGTAAGAGACGATAAACTACGCAAGACAACAGAACTGCAAAGAGAAGAAAAACTACAAACCCTATACCAACCCGTCTGGCCAGCGTGGTACAGTAGGCCGAAACCTCCTTTCTAAAGAGAGGCCTATGTCCAGCAATGGACTATTAAAGGCTGTTGATGATGACAACGATATTAAAAGAAAGGTAGATAATAATAAGAGACAATGACTAAACCGCTGAGGCTACTAACTCCAAGTTCTAGCCGATGTTTTATATGATGTAAGAGACGAAGGTCTTTTAGAAGTTTAAAAAAAAATAACTTTTTTAACTTCTCAGCATCTCACACACGGCCGTCTGATCCTAAATAATGCCGAGTCTGTGCTACGGTAACCAGACTGCTGATAAACATACTTATATTAGGTCTTTACCTATGAAATTGCCGTTTTGTATGCAATAAGTGAAAGTACTTATTTTTTCAAACTTTTTTATTTCTGTTATTCGAAGTAATCACCCATGCAATCGACGCATCTTTGCCAACGCATTGGCAGTTTATTGATGCCCTTCTTGTAAAAATCAGCTGGACGGGAGGCAACAAACTCTTCAAAGGCATTTTGTACTGCCTCTCGGGAATTGAATTTTTTACCCACTAAAAAGTCGTCTATTAAGTAAAGTCTATAAGTCTATTAGGTGCATTACTAAATACATACACCTATTTTAGATAAATTATACCCAGACACATAACAAAAGATAGTCATAATATGTCATCACCATCACACAATGTATCCTAAAGGTCAATTCTCATAATAAAAATTGATTCAAAATTCTTGATCTTACAAATAATATTCTACCACATTCAAACAACGCCATGTAGCCCCAAACTAAGCAGAGCTCATACTATGGGTACTAGACAACTGATATAAATAAATAATTTATACTTTTTTTTGTAAATACATACTTATTATACATAGGAACACCCAGACCAAATCAAACATTAAATGTTAATGCACACAAATGTTTGACTTGAGCGGGAATCGAACCCGCGACCTTTGGAATAGCAGTCCGCCATTCGGTCGTCGGTCATAAGGTTCTTGTAGTAAGGTAGTAAAGTATTACTAAGACTAACAGAAAACCGATTCTGAGTGGAAATCGAAAATGCGTCCTCTGAATTAGCCGTCAGAATCACAAACCACTAAACCACACCATGCCAGTCTAATGATGGAATGGTGTTGGGATTGATCGTAAATCTTGTGCTCGTAAACGACATGTGTGGGCTCGTTTTTGTGTAAAATTAAAAATAATGGCTTCACCTCAATTAACCTAGATTCATGGCAATGTCGTTGAATATTTGAGCGATAGAATTCACGTGTACTGTTACGAAGTATAGGAAGCAAACAAGCAGATAACACCTGATAATAAGTGGATATCGTCGCCTATTGACACTTGTAACTATGCGTTGCCGAACTTGAAACAAACCCTATACCAAGCCGTCTGGCCAGTGTGGTATAGTAGGCCAAAACCTCCTTACTTAGGAGAGACCTATGTCGAGCAGCTGTTATAGGCTGTCGATGAGGATACGTTATGGCAACCAGACTGCTGACAAACATACATAAATATTATTTTTTAAATACATACAGTCTATTTTTATTTATTTATTGAGTCTTCCTGCAAACATATTGCATAAGGCGGACTTAATGGCTCAGACATTTTCTTCCAGTCCAACCTTTGGATGTTGCAAAGCTGTGTGTGGCAGGTGTCTATATATGTATAACTTACACCTAGACAGAACAAATGATCGTGCTCATCAAACAATATTTGCCCTGAGTGGGAATCGAACCCACGACCTCTGGCTTAGCAGTCAGGATCAACAAACAATTTTATGTCGTTAATATTTTTAAAAGATGAAATATTCTGATTAGATCTTGTAACCTTTTCTAACGACATTCTTCTGGCAGTTTCACCGACTTCTTCATAGTAACACAGAGAACAGGTTAACCTACGTGTACGAAATATCATCGGGGTGACGTCATTTTACACCTGCGAAGATTTAAAAGACATTTTTTTAACTGTCGCGGAAGTAAATCGTCACAGTTCAGGTATTAGTCATCGGCTTATCGCTGTATGAACGAGAGACGAGTCTCGACAACCGACTAGTTTAACTACTGTGGATGCCTAATTAGCAAAAGCGTACGTTTGGTTTTGTAGGTGGCAGAGTACGGCAGAACTCTGCTCAGATTTGAGCGTCCCGACTAGGTCAGAAGAAGAAGTCTTTTTTTATGATATAGAGCAGACGGATCACCTGATGGAAAGTGACTACCGCCGACTATGAACGCCTGCAACTAGGGAGTCACAAAGGCCGACTGCTTTTGATGTAGGAATGCGCTCTGTTCTTGAAGGTTTGTACCTACAGAAGTGGTTAGAAAACAACCAAAGCCATTATCAATGTTACCCAATTGAAACCATAATACCTTAATTGCTACCATAGTCTTTGAAATATTGATAACCGCCTCCCATCCAGTGAACTGTCCTTCTTGGCTGATTAATTTATGTCAATAAAAAGAAGTCAACTAAACCCAATAAAGACTAGGTCGCTTTGCGTCCGACATTCCAAACCATTTTAGCAATATTATATGTACATATGTTCACAAGCCCACGGCCACCTGTGACTAGACAACTCGATACCACGTGCCAGTTACCCATCATTGGCCTTCTCCGGTCACAGCGGTCCCACAGATTTCTAATACGCACTGGATTCACAAAAATGCTAATATTTAAACGGCTGACCGGTTAGACTGGTTATGTTGTATAAGAAAAGCTAAACCTGTGCGCTATGGTTTGGTTTCAACTATTTAATGTTGAATGACTAACTTTCTTGTACTTATTTATGATAGCATATCATAAATGGGAAAGTTTGGACTGATATTTATTGTCAATTACGATTAAACGGCTGAACGAATCTGGTTAATTTTTTGGGACAGAGATAGATTTATAGCCTGGAATAGCAGATAGGCTGCTTTTTTATGGTCACATCACATCACATCAACAGCCTTTAATAGTCCACTGCTGGACATAGGCCTCTCCTTAGAAAGAAGGTTTTGGCCTACTATACCACGCTGGCCAGACGGGTTGGTATAGGGTTTGTGTCAAGTTTTCCGTCTTTTTGCAGTGCTGGTATCCTGCGTTGTTTTGCGCCCTTAGTCGGCTCTTACGACACCCACGGGATGAATTGGGGTAGTGACATTCCGTATTCTTAATCCGTCACTACACGGACAGACTTTTTTATGGTATAACGGGCAAATAAGCAAATGTTCATGAGCACCTGCAACTCAAGAGTCACATGTGTGTGTGTGTGTGTGTGTGTGTGTGTGTGTGTGTGTGTGTGTATGTGCCCCGCCCCCCAGAATCACTCACTCATTTAAGGAAGGATTGCCTAAGTCGGTTTTCTGTGAGACCCTGGCATCACGACGGTCGAGCCGGCCCATTTGTGCCGAAGCATGGCTCTCCCACGGATAAATAACTTTATGATCATTTTATTTTTTAATTAAAAAACAACTCCCATGTGGGGTTCGAACCCACAACACTCAGCGCGGTAGGAAGCGGCGAGATGACCACTTAAAACTACGCCATCCGTGCAATCTACTATTAGTTTCGGCTTACTTTTTAAAATAACTTGACAATACCGAAATTAAGGCGAACATAGTCGCTGGTAAAACCTAGTATTACCATAATTAATTTTTAAAATGACAAGTTCCGTCCTTGGGTACACCTATTTCTAGCGTTTAACATAGATGTAAAAGAGATACGAATACGGCAAGGTCATCTCGTGTTTTTAAGATAAAATATTTGAATTAGAATAATGAATGGCTGCCGTATTGGTGGCATAAATTGGGTGTTTATTTTCTATCGATTGTGAAGACTTCTTTGGTTTTATAAATTGTTCTATGAGTTTTTTGTTCGGCAATTCATTTCCTAACAGAAGTCTTGACGCGATTGGACAACAATAGGCTTCAATTATTTTATTACGTAATATTTTGGAAGATTATTAGCGACTAGCCAGCCAAGCTTTGCCGTGGCACATTATGGTTGAGAAATGAGGAACAGCATTGATGCGAAAAATAGATAAAAACTATCTTTGATGCAGGTTGTATACGTGTCAAAGTTTGATTTCAATCGGTGCAGAACTTTTGATTTTTTAAAGTGTACACAAAAAAAAAATTACTGATTCCCCATACAAACTTCCACTCCCTTTTCACTCCTTAAAGATGATTTCTGGGATTAAAACTGTATATCCTTGCCCGGGATTCAAACTATCTCTATACCAAATATCATCTAAATTGGTTCGGTTGAATCATCAAGAGGTAACAGACAGACAGACAGACAGATAGACACACTTTCGCATTTATAATATTAGTATGGATTTTGTTCAACTTAAACATGAAGTATATGCATCTCTAACGGCAAATGTCGAAGCATGCATACAATTTGTTTAAAAATTTGTATTTCTGACTACAAGACTGAGTACCAAGTAATAGGTGTGTAATTACCTTCGATATGCACATATGCATATGCAAAGTGCAGATTAGTGAGCACGGCAGCACCTGAAAGTTAATTCCCGTAATAAAAGTTGGATCACAATTCAGTTCCGATCTCTCAACTGTCATAAAAGGTACGAGAATTGGCTTTCTGATTGAGTTATGCTGGAGAGTAATACGCAATTGGCAACCATCTATTCGCATTTTAACCCGAAACTAGACGAATATTGACGGGCCTGTTGGTTAGTGACCCTGACTGCTAAGCCGGAGTTCGTGGCTTCGATCCCCACCCAGGACAAGCTTGTTCTGTGTCTAACCAGAAAAGGAAAAGAAATACCTTTTATCCACAGAAAAAAACATTTCCCCAGGGAAGTGATACTTGTATTTATTCTATTCTATGATTTACTGTGGGAATTAAAGAGAAAAATCCTACAATACAAAAACAGAATTTTTAGGCAAATTAAACATTTCTGAAGTCAAAGCAATATTTAAACGGGTTTTTTTTTTTTTATCGATCCCTTTGGCAAAAAATCTGCCACTTTTCCAACTGTTTTTATTATATTGTCGGTCCAGTTACTGCTCGGTCCAAAAGCGCGTTTCTCAACTGCAAGAGTAGCGAATCCCGACATAGCATCACCATTACATCGCTCCAGCTTCCCGATCAACGCGGCAGTTTCTTTATACGCTGATGGATTAATCCTTTCAATCTCACTCTTGTTAAAAGCACAGAGTATTTGACCAAGTGCAGTTAAGTCATAGCTAGTGTAGTCCTCGGGTTCTTTTTCAGCGAAGTCTTCGCGTACTCTGTTCGCGATTGCAGCTATTTGGGCTTCGTTTAACTTGTAGTACAGGCCAAAGTTCTGTACAACATCAATGTTGCTTAAAGACATGTTGGCGTAATCCTCGGGAGACACGGCAGCGGTAACCCAGTGGAGTATCATGAGCACTGAATCAGGAATGTGTTCTATGCCATCATAAAATGTTATTAGGGATTTCCAAATGAAATCTGCTTCAGGTGTCGGTAGCTCTTCCTTTCCAAGATGTGCTAAGCACTGAACTATATCTTTTGCTGACATCGTTTGTAACGCTGATAGTGAAACCTTCTCGTCTAGTGGTAAATCAAGTACATCATCACACGAAAGACATTGTGCTGTGACGATTTTCACAAACACGGTAAATATTATCGTCTTCATTCTGGGCTGTTTTAATAATAGCAAGACGTGTTACTACCGTCAGAGTTTCTATAGACTTAAGGTCTTCGAGTTCCTTTGTCTCATTAGGTATTAACGATTCAATTACTGTGTAGTTCGAAGTGATTGAATCCTTCATTAATTTTAAAGGATTCAGTCTTTTACGGACAAATTGAATTGTAGCTTATGTTAAATTATTTATTTAAAAAAAATCAAAGATAAGATTTAGAAGCATTTACTCCTTATATAGACAGCTACTTGATAGTAAAATATTATCAAAATCGATCCAGCCGTTTTGAAGATTACCCGGCACAAACAGACAGAAAGACAAAAAATATTTGAACTGGTTTTTAGGTATTTTATTTATTTGTTTAGATGTATAGGAAAGCTTCAAGGGTTTCCATGAAAGTTTCAAGATAAAATCTAAAACATCTATGCAAGTTCCAAGCTATCCATTCACTTGCATAGATATCAGGCGCACAGTTTCGTTCGTGGCGACACACATACGAGTTGACACGCTTTCGATAGCATTCCTCACTTTCTGCACAATTTTATGGAGCTAGTTGTTTGCTTACGTCATTCACACGATAGTTAACGCAATCAATGTTACTATTTACTTCGAAATATGGCGACATGTACCAGGGACGACATTTGGTGCCAAAAGGTGCGCGAAAACAGGGATGCCAAAAGCAATTTTAGTTTCCTTGAAATGAAAATTGTTTTAATAATAAAAAGTGTTTACGTATCGCTATCCATGCAACCTGTTTGTATTTTTTAAGTATTATTCTGAATGTACAAGGTCTGAATATGGTACACGTACGCATATGGTGCTCGTATGATGACGCATTAAGAATACAGAGTGTCACCACCCGTAAGAGCCACCTAAGGAAGAAAACTGCGCAGGACAAGAGCACTGCAAAGAGAAGGAAAACTACAACACAGCCTTTTTTTTTTTTTTTTTTTTTTTAACGTGTGGAAATCCCCTCGGACCGTCACCCCTCCGGGGTTTGCGGCGGGGTGGTGTGTCGGACTCGGACCGACTAAAACCACACGGTGTGCCACTCTGCGCCTGTAACAGGAGGGATCCGGGAACAGCTGTTGTTAAGACATCCGGACCCCTCCTAGCGCCAGCCCGCTCCTGGTGCGGGCTCCGTCTCAGTGTTGATGTTCCTCTCTTTAGGCGACGTCCGGCACACGCGGACGCCGCCCCCTCGCGGCTGGCCAAACTAATGCGGGTGGAGGGGAAACCCACCCCGTCCACCCGCGGCCACACTCAGGGCGGCATGAGGCTGTGGTAGGCGGGCCTCCGCCGCCCGGTTCGCCGGCGGCGGATCGGGTCCGAGTGGAGGTCGTCCTCCCGGGCCCTCTCCGCCGCCTCCTTCCGCGAGATTACTACCTCGCAGAAGGTTGCGACCGCGGTAAAACAACTGTCGCTACCGGCCATGGAGCGTACTACGGCCGGTAGCGAGAGATCCACTCCGATGACTGCAGTGAGGGCCCGGCGCTGCGCCGCCCATGCGGGGCAGACCGCCAGCGTGTGCTGGGCCGAGTCCTCACTGCAGTCGCAGTGGTGGCAGGCGGGACTCAGTTCCCTCCTTGCGACCGTGTGCAGGTACTTTCCGAAGCAACCGTGCCCGGAAAGCACCTGCGTCAGCCGGAAGGAAAGGGTCCCGTGCTGCCGCCCTGCCCACTCGGCGATGACCGGCTGGAGAGCCTCCACGGCGGCGAAGCCAGCGTGTGGAGTCTCCAGCCGGAACGACCAACGAGCCATCGTGGCTCGGCGAGCGGCTTCGCGCCACTCGCGCACATCCTCGGGCGGAGGGCGAAATCCGCTCTCCGCCCGGAAGTCAGCCACTCGCCGATAAACTTCGGCGAGCACTTCCGCCTCCAAATCCCACGGGGGAGTTCCGGCCAATGCGCATGCCACCTCCGTCGAAACGGTGCGGTAACCGCGTATGGCTCTGACCGCCATTACCCTCTGAGGGCGCCAGAGGCGTACCCTATTCTGGGCGGTCAGAGCCGCCGCCCACACCGGTGCACCGTACAGTGCCATTGACCGGACAACCCCCGTGTACAGCCGTCTTGTCGCGACGCTGGGTCCACCCATGTTGGGCAAAAGTCGCCCTAGGGCAGACGCAGCGCCGACCAGCTTTGGAGCAAGCTGTCGGAAGTGCTCGTCGAAGAGCCACCTCCCGTCGAGGATCAGGCCCAGATATTTCATCTGGGCCCGAACCGGTACGAGGACCGAGTTGACCACGATTGAGGCGCCAGGGGGTGGACCACGACGGGGCCCATGGAATAACAGGGCCTCCGTCTTATCTAGGGCCACCCGTAAGCCCAGCGCCTCAATGCGCCCGACCACCAGGGAGACTCCCCCTGTGGCCAGGCGCGCCGCCTCTTGGAAGTTTGCCCCCCGGGCTGTCACGAGGGTATCGTCTGCGTAACAGATTACACCCAGCCCGGGGGGGAAATCGGCGCGAAGGGCCCAGTCGTACCCTATGTTCCACAAGAGGGGTCCAAGAACAGACCCCTGTGGAACACCGCACGACATGGGCCGACACCTCAGATTACCTTCTCGGTCCTCGTACACGACGGTACGCTCCTCTAAATAGTCTGCCACCAGCCGCCTCAGGTACTTTGGCACCCCATGATAGTGGAGTGCTTCCCTGATGCAGCTGAATGGCAGACTATTGAATGCGTTGGCGATGTCTAATGACACCGCCAACAGCACGCCGCCACAGCTCACGGCCTCTTCGGTCACGGCCCTCAGGCGCAACACGGCGTCGACCGTCGAACGCCCCGCCCGAAATCCAAATTGGGCGTCCGACAGATCGGGGCCCACCTCGCAGAGGTGCCGGACGATGCGGGCAGAAAGAACCCTCTCAAACAATTTGCCCGCCTCGTCCAGCAGCACGATGGGCCTATAGGCCGCGACCGAATCGGCAGGCCGTCCCGGCTTCCTCAATAGGACCAGCTTCCCGCTCTTCCAGCACTCAGGGAAGCGTCCCGACGCCAAGCTAGCGTCGAACACCTCCCCGAGGCGGTCTGCCATGTGGTTGAGGGCCAGGGCCAGCACTCGAGCCGGTACCCCGTCTGGCCCAGGGGCGGTGTTCTTGGAACGGATCCGTAGAACAGCCGCCCCTACCTCCGATTCCCGGACGGGCGGAACATTATCCTCCCCGTGCTCCCCGTCGTCTCCGGCCAAGGAGGCCATCGACGGGGGAGTGTGTTCCGCCCGTTGTGGGAAAAGGCCCTCAACCACTTCTCGCAGGAAGCTGGGCTGGAGAGTCTCCGTAAGGGGGGGGCCCGACGCGCGGAGCTTTTGTCGCACCGCGCGGTAAGGGCGACCCCAGGGGTCACGATTAAGACCCTCCAGCATCTCCTGTCTTTTTTCTTCTTTGGCGCGGCTAATGGCCAGCTTCAGAGTTTTCCGCGCCCGTCGGTACTCCTCATGAAGCCGGTCCTCCTCACCGTCTCCGCGGTGACGCCGCCGACTGCGCGTGTAGGACCTCCGGGCACGTGTACAGGCCGCACGGAGGTCCGCCAGCTCCTGGGACCACCAGTAGACCTCCTTCCTTGGAGGCCGACGACCTCGAACGCGGGGCATGGCCGCATCGCATACATGCGTAATCGCATCGCGAAAGCGGCCAGCCCCCACGTCGACCTCCTCGGTCGGAGCCTGTGGAGACAGCCACGAGTGAATTATGGCTGCCTCCTCTAGTAGGTCCCGGTTCAGCCTGGCAACAGCCCACCGCGGAAAGCGGGATAAACGCCGCGCCACGTGACCCCTACTGGAGTCCTGGGTCCGGGAGAGCTCAAATCGGATATACAGGTAATCCGAGAGCGTCTCAACCTCTTCCAGGACACGCCAGTTCCTTACTCGTGCGGCGAGGGCAGGGGTAGCGAACGAGAGGTCCACTATCGACCCCCCCTGCTGTCGCACGCACGTGTTGGTGGAGCCTCTGTTTAGGAGACAGAGGCCCACCGAGGCCGCCCACTCCTCTACGGCCTCGCCCCTGGCGTCCGTCCTGGGGGAACCCCACGCAATGGACTTTGCGTTGAAGTCCCCCAGCACAAGGACGTGCCCAGACGCTAGTCGCCGTATCGAGGTCTCCAAGCTGGTTAGGAAAACCTCGAAGTCGTTCAAACTCCGGTTGGGGGAGAAATATACACCATATATGGTGATCCCCCCCCACTCGACGGCAACATATCCAGTGCCCTTGTCTCTTAGCGACAAGGGCGGGGAATGAGCCGTCGTGGAACCGACGACTGCCACGGAGCCGTCCCAGTCACCCATCCAGTTTGGACGGGGAGGGACAGAATAGGGCTCCGCGACTACGGCAACACCTATCGACCACTGTGCCATGGTTTGCAGGAAGAGATCCTGCGCCGCGGCACAGTGGTTCAGGTTCGTCTGGACCAGGAGGTTGGAGACTTGATCCATTACTGGATCGTCTCTACAACCTCCTCCATGGGCGACGACGTCGACGCACGAACTACATCGGAGGCAGCCTGGGTCGACTGGCTAACCCCTGACGTCTGCCGAGAACTGCGGGGAGGCTTGCAGCCTCTCTGCCCCATCTGGTGATTGGCGGGCTTATTGCCCGCCGCACACACTGGGCAGTGAGGGGCGGCAGAGCATTCTGCCGCCTTATGCCCCGGTTGACCGCAGCGGAAACACAGTCCGCCGCAGTCAAAACAACTGTCGCACTTGACGCGCGTGTGTCCCGATGCTAGGCATTTGTAGCATCTCATCGGTCTCGCCGCCAGGACTGTGATCCTGGCGCTCACGAAACCGACGAGCAGCCTGCCGGCGTCGGCCAATACTTTGGCCGACGCTACGGGACAGCTGACCCACACGGCGCCAAGCCCTCCTGGACCGGGGAGGATGGTGCCGACCCTGACGTTGTCCGCGCTGCACCCCGTCTTCTCCCGGATTACAGCGCGGACATCTTCGGCCGTCACTGAGTCGTCCAGGCCCGAGATGCGCAGTTCCGCGCACT